AATATAAATTATTTATCATAAATCTTAAATATAATTTATATATTTAAAATTATCTATTTATACAAATTTAAATATAATTTATATATCTAAACATAATATTTATTTATATATTTTATTTATTATAAAATTTATTATATATATTAAGTATTTAGTTTGTGCATTGCACAAATTAAAATACTTGTTTTTGTTAAATTTGTAAATATTATTTTTAATTTTTATACATATTTTAGTTTAAAGTTTGACCTATTCTCACTTCTATTATTAGGAATTACTTTCTTTGTTCCATTATATTTGACATTTAAGATTTTGGTACATGACTTAAGAAATACAATTAATATATCTGATTTCATAAATTAAATGATATAATTTTCTAATATACTCTTAAACTTTTTGAATTTCTACCAACAATTAAAGAAGGAAATTAATAATAGTTAATGATATAATAGAAAAATTATTTAATGTTATTGATATTATAAAACAACAATCAAATTAAAAAAATAAATTCTTATAACGTTAAACATGGAATATACATGAGAATCAACATAATGTGACATGATTATCAGGTGATTTTATCCTTAAAAATATGTGATTATGAGTTCAATTGTCAAGCTTAGGTGCAGAAATGAGTACTTTTTAAACAAATCTTAAAACTTCAAAAAAAAAATTTGTAAAAAAAATAAATTAGAAATCAATCCTACAAAACCTATTTTATACTGGATTAGATCAAATTTAAATTCTAAATTAAATTTCCAAAAAATTATATTAATAAATTTTTATTTTTTTTAACTTTAATATTTTTAAATTTTTAATTAAGAACTTTATTTATGAATACATATTAATAGTATTTTATTTTATTCTGTGAAAGAATACATGAGGAAGAATAATTAAAATAGCAAGCAAAGATAAACATGAGGAAAAGTTAATAGGCTATACCCCCATTAACGCCGTCGCCACTGAGGTAGAAAGTAGCTACATTTCAACAGCAATGGCAAAAGTCACCCAAAATAGCTGAAAATTAATTTTAGATGTGAATATTACCCCGTGTAATGTAAAGATTTCCATTCCGGGAAGAAAGGACAAAACAATCACTCGACCAAACTCTCCCATTACACTATTGTGGGAATAATACACACTACACTATAAAAAAATTGGCTTTCTAATCACCAAAAGATACAATAATTTGACCAGGATGAATGGCTCACTAACACTTTTCTAACTCAGCTGAATATTTTAGTCTTTACAAGTTTACAACACGGTTGAAGGCTAGACGAACCTGGGATGTAGTAAACTAAAAATGCTGACCATACGACCTCCCACCTCCCATAGCTACGTACCCTGATCAGGTATTGTGTTGTTGGGCCTCTAATTTTGGGTTGTCAACGACTGAAAAAGCCAGGTCCAGCTCGAGAAAGAAGCTCCTCCCCAGCATCTTTACCCATCTTTATCATATCTTCAACAGTATATGGACCAATTCTGGAAGTTTCAAGCACTGCTTAAACGGAGTTAAAGACAAACTTAGAGAATAGTAACTAAGCTAGAAGTCTCAATAGTCATATAATTGAAGTTCATACCACGGGTTCCATCAGGGGAAGCAACTAATCCTCTAAACAAGCAATTGCCATCCTCTTTTCTGCAAGCATAGCCTGCAATAGGAGTGCGGCAAGACCCTTCCAAAGTTTCAAGGAAGGCTCTTTCGCAGGAAACTGCTAGTCTTGTTTCTTCATGATTCAGTGAAGCAATGTATTCTGACTGCATAAATCAGCCAACCACATTTACAGAAACTAACTACGCAATTGTTTCCAGCACAAAATCTTTTCTCCTTGAAGTATTTCACTATTTATGATGAAAGAGTTCTTCAACCCTCACTATAAATTCTCTTATATAGGACAAGGGGGACTGGAAAAAGATTGGGGGAGGGGGGAGGGGAGGCGGTCATTTTATGTTTGAGCAGGATTTATTAGAATTTTGTATGACATCATTATACATATATCAATCTAACGTCCTATTATTCAAAGTCTATTCTTTCTTTGCTTCCATCCCTACCTAAGCACTATAATTCAATAATTACATCAGAACCGAAGTTCATCAAATGTCATCGTTGTGACAGCTATTTTGAGCTATTCCCCAAGTACTTTTTAAGTCTCAACTAGCTGAATCAGCTGATATAGTTTCTCACAAGATAGGTCTACATCCACAAGCCATATTATCCCAATTATTGGCCAGAAACTATCAAGTATTATTTCTTCAAATGTATGCTATTAGATGAAAACACAAGTTTTTATCTCTGATATAGTTTCTCACTTGATTGACAGCAGACAAAAACCATAAATGTACCCAGAAGGCATGATACTATAGCTTACAAAATATAATCTAACATTAACTTGCTATCATCTAAGGAAACATCTTTTAAGCAGGTCCAAGAGGCAAGATCGAGCAAATAATGCACTATAGTTAAATACTCACCATTTTATCATCATTACTTCTGCAAGCTATTCCAATTGCACCTTGGGCAACAGCTGGAAGCATATCATCGATTGATAGGATTGAAGACACATTTTCTGTCATATTTAATCGCTTGAGTCCAGCTAATGCCAATAGGGTAGCTTGGACAATGCCCTCACTGAGTTTTCTCAGCCTTGTTTGGACATTGCCACGGAAATTTTCCTCTACCTGAGATTAAAATTATAGGTAAATAAAAATCTAAGAATCTTTTAGTGGTCCAGAAAACTGAATTGTCGCTAAAGAAGTAACTTGAGAACAATTCAATGACAAACCAGAAATAGGAAATATTGAAGAAACACAACGTTCATACATATGGAAATCATATAAGAAGGCTATACTTTTAAGATGACATAGGTAATGTTCCTTATCCTAGAATAAGAGTCTCAACCATGACACTGTCTATTACTTTACACTTATTGCCCTTATCTTGCTGTTAAAGGTAACAAGGGTATACTAACTAATGTCTGCTGATTTCTCCGGAACCAAACATTCATGTATGATTGTATTAAATGCTTTTACCATAATCGAAGCCACCTATAATTAAACCATAATGGTATGAATCAGGACCAGTCCCATTTCATGTCTTCAGAAATCCATTGATAGCACTTGGTAGACATGTTAAAATAGGATGGATTGGTGGAACATAACATGAATTTTGTTCTATGTTTGATGTATTTTAAAGAACAAAAATGAGGCTAAAAAGGAGTTCAGTTAAGAAGTGGAACCGAAAAGGCAGAATAGAACAAAACCATGCCATTCCGTTCTGTACACACACCAAGGCTACCATTGTATGATCCTTAGAAAGAAACCATCCAATCTAGGGATGATTTTTAACCATAAGTAACATACAGAATCCCAGATCCACGACAATTTATCTAAATTACAATTGGTTATAATCAAAATATTAACCATCCCCCTCCCCAGATAAAAAATTGAATGCCTCCAATAGATGACCTCAAATATGTAAAGTACTAAAGTCACCAAACAGATGCTCTAGAGCTAGAAGCCATCTCACAAAGAAACAGCAATGATAATAAGTTGGTGATATTACTACCCATTCTCTCACTAGTCAGTAGTCACTAGGAAAAGGCATTGGAAATCATAATTGTGTTTCAGGCCCTAATGATAATAATGAGAAAAATAAAAGATAATGTCAAGAGACTAGAGAGAACTGAGTTTAATATGAATGGAAACATTATATAGGGGAAAAAATCATGATAATGCAAGGTTACATTTAGAGATGGATATCTGTGAAGTATCTGTGACTTTCGTCTGAGTGAAGCAGTACCAACAACACTTCCAGAGGGTAGATCAGCCAGTGAAGCTGCAGTCAAGGATATAAATGCATCTCTGACATCCTCACGTGGAAGATTGCATGGTAGAATTGTTTTATCAGGTAAGTAAGTAGGAACATCTTTCATTGAGTGGACGGCAATGTCAACGTCACCGTTTATGAGTGCCTCGTCTATTTCTTTTGTGAACAGGCCCTTCCCACCAATGTCTGCAAGCGGTTGTGATAGTATTTTGTCACCAGTTGTTTTTATTATCACAATCTGAATAGCCCCTTCTTCCGCTAGCTCTGGATGTGATGCCATGAGTTTGTCTCTGGTCTCGTATGCCTGAGCCAGAGCTAGTGGACTGCTCTAAATATAACCAAAATTATAAATAAACCCAAATAAACAAGGGAGTCCAAGACCATTTGTCAAACCAGTCATGGAAGCATGCAGAATCAAGTAGCTAGTAATAATTGGGTTAGTAATGATAAAAAAAAAATCATTGCAGAGGAAACAAAGATGAGATTGCCTTCCTTTCAAACAATCTAATTCAATCTCTGGAGTTTAAATGGGCATGAAGTCCACTTAAATCTACCGAGAGGACTACAAGCATTTTGATCACTAAATCTTTTTTCTGAAATTCTCTTTTCAGGAAAGGTGTAATCAAGGATAGTGTGACAATCTTGAAGTGAAGTAATTTATGTGTGTTTGAATTCATATTAGACTATCTAGAATCACATTGAAATATCACCTAACATAATTTGAAGTACATGTCTCCACATTTTATTTCCATATTAAAGAATTAATTTTGAGTTGTTTTCAGAATAAAAACACCAAAAGATAAATCGCGCTACTTCAAAAATAATTTTAATTAAAATCAGTTTTGCAAACGGAGATAAAACTCGGTATAATTTTGTGTGCAACATAAAAGCTATATAAAGTAGTTTCAACTCAATTTTGAACCAACACTTACTTCCTCAACCTGAAAACATATTTACCTAAAATCACATTACCCGATAATTAAAAGTGATTCTGAACAATCCTGCTCTAAAACAAAGCCCATTTGAATTACGGCAATCAGAAATTTACATCAAGGAACAGGATCTGCCATCATTTATGTCACAATACAAGCATTTTTAAAGTTAAATGAACATGCGAGGGCAAGTTTTGGGGACTGAATAATTTGAATGACTAGTTATTGTATGATATAGAAAAATTCCTTTAAACTTAAAAAGAAAATGCGAATAAGAAGAGTGGAGAACCTTCCTCTGGTACCAATTCTGAGAAGAGCAACCTTGGTCGGCGATGTTTGTTGCTCAACGGCAAGCGAAGCCCTGATGCGACATTTGGAGAAAGGTGAAGTTCTGACAGTCAAAGATGGGAACGCCAACGCAGAGAAGCAGAGGGACTCCATTTCTCGCGCGCACACAACACATACAATCAACTTCAACTTCAATGCGATGTGATTTCATGATCTATAAGATATGATACGGTCCTACCCTACCCAAATTAATTTAATTCTATTCGTCATATACTAGTAATGGGATAAATGAGAAATGACACATTAAATTAAATAAATGTCTAACTGTTGTGTTGTGTCGCTTCCGAGGCTTACATTTAAAAATAAAATAAAAATGATCAAAATGATTATGGATGACAATGATCATTTTATTTTTTTTACTTTTTAATAGATTATATATAAATATGTTGGCTTATCAAACATATTAAGCTTTTTATAAGTTAAGTCTAATTTTTCTTTTTTAAGTTTAAAATAAGATATGACATATTTTTTATTTCTATTAAAGAATATCATGTTAGATACATAAAATATATTTAATATGAATATTTTAATAAAAATAAATAAAAATCGAGTCATGCAGTTTAATTAGTGACCTGTCGGTTCAACCTTTGACCCGTCAATTTAACTTTTGACCCACTGATTCACTGATCCAGTACCTTAACCGGTTCGATGATCGGTCCGATTTTTTAAACTATGAATAGTTGTAATTCATGCACATATAGAGAATTACAGAAAATTAAAAAAAAAAGTTAGATGTTGGGTTGTTTTCGAGAGGTGTTGAGAGAGGGAAACTAGTGTAGGTATGGCGATGTTGATGATGGTAAAAACATAATTCATGTTTGAATTCTTAAAATAATGCAGCGTGGTATTTTTGTTTAAAATCGAAATAAATAACATTAACCTTTTATACATATGGTAGGGTGATTGGTCATTGTAGTGTCGTTTTTAAAATATTTTACGTAAATAGGGCTGTTTTGAAACTATTTACATCTTTGGGACTGTTTACAAAGGTTTCGCTATGGACCATAACGACACCGGTGATACGTGTAAATTTTCTTTTTTCTACAAGCCATGAACGTTATATTACTAAAGTCGCTGTAGCCGGTATCGCTTCAAATAAAGTCGCTATAGCCTATACTATTGACCAAGCTAATGAAGAAGAGAGAAAACAAAATACTGTTGCAATTTTATCTAGAGAATGAGAAAAACCTGATAATGAAAATACTAGGCTACCCCTTAAATACATGAGACTAAAGAGAATTGACTAACAAACTAAGCAATGACTAACCGAAAAATAAAACTAACTAAAATATATATTTACAGCATAAATACAATTATATAATCTAATATATAGCGACACAAACGACTTCAAATAAAGTTGTTATAGCCTATAGCGACACAATTTAATTTACTTTTATTAAAAACTTTTTTGAAAACTGATAAAATAAATGTGGAGAAAAATAGATGTTGAGAAGGAAAAAACAGGAAAAATATAAAAGATAAAAATAAGTGAACGAAAAAAAGTGTAAAAAAACGAGAAAAAAAAAAGAAGGATAAAGAAAAAATATTTAACAAAATTGATAAAATAATTTTTGAAAAAAAAATTAAAAAAATGAGGTCGCTATGGGCCATAGCGTCACACTGTCGCTATGGGCCATAGCGCCTCTGTTGTACATTAAAAAAATATATAAATGTAATTTTAAAAATATATATAATAAAAAAGAAAAAATTATGTGAAGGAAAACTTTATATAAATAACAGAAATAATAAAAGAAGTAAAATAAATAAATATTGTTAAAAAATGATAATTTAAATGTTAAAAATTAAAAAGTTTAAAATAAAAAAAATTGTTGATATGAATCATAGCGACTTAAAGGCATTATGAGCCATAGCGACTATGTGTAAAATTAATTTTTAAAACTTCTTTTTTTGGTCAGTTTTTTTTTAAATTAATATATAAAAAATCTGAAAAAACTTTAAAAAAATAATTAAAAGTACAAAAATAAATAATTTAATCTTTAATTTTCCATATTTAATTAAAGTAAAAAAATAACAACGCAAATAAATATTTTTAATTTAATTGTAAATAAAAATATAAAAAATAAAAAATAAAATACTAAATAAGGTCGTTATGGCCCATAGTGACATTGTGTCGCTATGGGCCTTAGCGCCTTTAGATAATATATGTTTTTAATAATAAAATATATATTTATTATATTTTTAAAATGAGGATTCATAACGACTCTGCAAAAATCACTATAGCCTATAACGACTTTTATTGACTAAATTTAAGCTGTTTGCGGTTATAAAAAAAAAATACACGTGACACTGGTGTCGCTATGACCCATAATAACACTGTAGTAAACTGCTCCAAAGATATAAATAATTTGAAAACAGTTCCATTTACGTAAATAATTTTAGAAATTACTCCAAATTGATCACTCAGCTCATATGGCAAAATAAAAAAGAATAACATATGAAAATGTAACATCGTTAATCTCAAATGAATATGGCAAAATAAAAAAGAATAACATATGAAAATGTAACATCGTTAATCTCAAATGAATAGAAAGATCGATTGCATCATTTTAGAAAATCAAACAACTAAATTATACCTTTTTAATAAAAGAGAAGCTAAATTAAATAATTATTTTTTGTATCTGTCAAGCTGCAGCCTTGGCATTTTACATTGACTCTGATTTTAACTGAACTATATTCGAGTAGCAACAAACTCAGTAAAATTAATTGAACCATTTTTTTTTATAGATAAACATCACATCTCAACATATTTAAATCGTATTTATATATTTATTTGTTTGGTGTAAAAATTGATGTATGTCATTGAAGTATATATCATTGATATAAAGTCGTAATATTATATTAATAGATTTTTGTTAGATAAATATTATTTAATAGATATACAATGTGTATAAAAAAAATTACATGATTAACAATCAAAATTTAAGGAGACCCTTACTGATAAGCTCTTTGCTTTGTCATCAAATTAAAGTTGTTGGAGATAATTGGTCTCTCTTCTGTATATTGGCAGAGGACAGAATATGTTTGGCATCTCTCAACAAGTTAGCACTTCTAATGACATAACTTCTCATTAATTTTGTTTGATATCAAGATTCAAAGGTACTACGTACCAATTGCAGTTGTACGCTGTACTTCACTGCCATAGTATTGTTGAGGTGACAATTGAAGTATGGTTTTCAGGGATTTTGATCCTCTGTAGTTATGGATGAAATCATGAAACTGCACGAATCTGGCCTGTTAACAGTTTTTTTTACTACATCATAGATTAAAATTTGAAATTAAATTTATTAAATTTAACGGTGTGATTTAAAACTGCACCTTATGCAGTTTCTTTTGAGACTGTAGATGATCCTGGTCCGGTTTTCAGCCTCTGCATGTTTATAGTTTGAACCGTAGGCAATAGAAGTAGAGGTGGGGACAGGGGATTGGGGGATATTTCAAGGGTAATTTTTCCTTTTCCTTTAAAATTTCTTTACAAGTAAAAAATCATCTCAGAATTTTTTATATATGGTCTACTAAATTAGTGCCTCTTTTAGAAATTTTCTGCTTTTGCTAGTATGTTTTTATGTAGATTTATGTAAACAACTAAACATACAGAAGGTGGATTTTAGTCACTGTAATGTACACATGTATTTGTCTATTTTACCAATCATAAATTTCCAATTTGCTTTCCTCTTTTGAGGATAGGAAAACTTTCTCTTGAACCAAAGTTGATTTGGTCATTGTTATTTGAGATTTCTGTTAAATAAATCTTAATCAGAATTTTTGTGGAAAGATGCATTCGAGGGAAGGAATTGATTTCATGTGTAAAATAAACAGATTCATATGTAATAATGCAACATGCCTAAGTAGTTTGAAACTATTTTCTTTGTAAATCTACGAGGAATGTTGGACACTTGAGTACTCTTCCATGCGTTGAGCTATGCCTATGTCTTCGAGGATTCAGGAGCATTTTTCATTTGTGGTTGTGGGACATGACCAGTTTTGTCCTTGTTCGGATTCATTGTTAGCCAGTTATGAAATTAAATTTAACCGTCAACAAATTAAATTATGATATTGTCTTGTATTGTTCTTTTGTACTGGCATTACAAGAGAGCAATTGTTTTGTTTTAAAGATAGTAATATAACCTCGTGTCCTACCATGAACTTGGTGTGTGTTTGGATCGACTTTTATTATGAATGTTTCACCATAAATTTCCGTTAAATTGTGAATAATACGTTGAAACTACTTAAAAAATACTTTAAAGTGGTGGAATTTGACTCTTATAAGACGAGGAGATTTTACATTAAAAAACAAAGTGTGATAATACTAGTGATTAAAAAATTAATATTAAATATTATAGTTAATTTTAATTTATATATATATATATATTTATATAATTATTTTTATTATAATTTTTCATCGTTTATTTTTTAATTAATAGTTATTATTGTATTTTATTCTTTAAAGTTCACTTTATTAGAATAGTCAAATCCAAAATGACTTGCATCTTTTTCTTGACTTATAATCAATTAGATACTTAAATTATGAAGTTGCATGAATTTTTTAACTTGTTATCCATTGTAAGTTTATACCAATTTATGTTATTACAGTCTTGAGATTTTATGGATTTTAGATAAAATATTACGTAAAGACTCTTATTATATGTATAGATAATTTTAAATATAAACATTTATAATATAAAAATAAATACATAATTTAATTAAGATTTAATATATCATTTGATTTATAATTTTATAATAATTTTTAATTAGGTCTTAAACTAAAAATAATAATAATAATTTAGTCTTTCATCTTTTTTATAATTTACTTATTACGGTTAGAGATTCATTTATAATTATAATATTTTAATTTGATATAATATTTTATATTTTTTTATGTTCAGATAATTATATTAAATAACTATTCAATGTCACCATATTTATGTGAATTAAATTTTAAAATTTATTGGTTAAAATTTCTTACTATTCTATAATTGTTATAATTATGGAGATTATAATTTTTTTTATAGATAAATTAAAGTTTCCTAGACATATACGATGATATATGAAACAATAATTTAAAGTAACTCTACGGTATAAAGATGTAAAAAAAAACATTTCATGAAATGTAAACAAATTTCTAATCCTAAAGAGTAAATTACCAAAAAAAAAAGAATGACTTGATTACAATTTTTTTTTAGTTTAGAGACTTAATTAAAATTTTCAAAAGGTTCATAAAACAAACAATGTATTAAAACTTCAATTAAAAAAAAATATTTTATTACATTAAAAAATAACAATGTTAACAAATCTAGAATAGACATATTATATTTTTCATTCAATTTGCTTTTATGCTATCATTTATTACAAAATATTATATAAATAACTTTAAGGATCAAAAGTAATCATCTTCAAATTAGAAGGACAAAAATAAATTGAGAGATTATATAAATAAACTTAAAAAAATTAGAAAGATCAAAAATATATTTTACCCTTTTATAAATGTAATAGATGTGTACTATCCGTACTGCGTAGCCGAGCTCCGAGCTCGACGTCACAACGCGAACCGACCTCGGACACCCACCGGGTAACATCGGCTCGGTATTTAAGCCAATCATAACTGATCCCCGAGGATCTCGTCCCAGATAAGATCCGTTATCTAATCATGTTACACTTCATCTCAGGCCCAAGGCCCAAAGTAACCCTAAATCACAACAAGGTACGTGCATTACATATACGAGACTACTACTCATGCAAACCCTAACTTTAACATCAGAGTCTCTTTTGCAGCTACCACCCCCATCTTGGAGCATCAGCGTACCCGTGAAGGAGGCTCACCGATCTTACCTGGCAGATCAGCTCTACAGCAGATTTCCAGTAAGTACAAGATGAAAATTAACAATATAGATAATAAGACATTGTAATTGTATCATTTTTTATTTTAATATAAAAAAATATATTTATTAAAGATGATGATTTTTTTAAAATAATATAAAAGTTATAACACAATTGTATAATTTTAAAAAAAATAACAAACAAGATCCAAAGTAGACCTTATACCACTCCTTTACGTGACAGAATCTCATTCCGTTGTTAACTTTTTATCCTTATGCTTAATATTTGTGTAACTATTACATGAAAAATTTTCTTTGACACTACTAGAAAATTAAAATTCGTCAATATTTATTTGATAGATGTTAAATCACAATAAATTTAAAAGTGAAAATATTCTGCCAAATGTGATTTAAAAAATATATATCCAAATTAAAAAGATGTAATAAATTCTATTATTGTAAAAAGCGTTTATACACTTTATTATTTATAAGCTACTTGGGTAGTAAAAATAAGATTCAACCCACTGATCAAGCCATACTCTAAAAATAGTAATCCAAAAAGAAATTTGTTTGTAAATTTAGTGAGTATTATTTATTACTTTTTTAAAATTTAAAGAAAAAATATATATATTTTTATTATAAACAAAAAAAAGTACACATATCTTTTGTTTAAATATAAATAAATTTCAATTACTTTTATCTCAATTAATTTTATTCTCCTAAAAATATTATTTTTTTAATAATGATAAGTTAAGAAAAATATTATAAAACTAATCAAATTTAATACAAATAACTGATTTTTTAGTATACATAAAATTATTCTTTTTTAATTATAATAGAAAATAGAGAGGAGTAGCTGATTTGTCCCGGCCTACGGATGAGGCCACGTAATAAGTGACCATAAGAAATTAATGGCAGAGCATGACAACCCACTTTTTACAAACATTAGCAAGATGGTCCGACAGAACCATTTTACACCGTTGGATCATAGTAAATCTTAATTGAACTTAGCAACCATTAAGTCAAAGGAGACAAAGGAAACCCCAACAGCATACGCAAAAATTCTGAGGTGTATTGGAAACGGGAAAGTCTTTTTTTATTTATTTATTTTTCTATGTTGATATTGAAAATTGAACCCCAACTGTATCAAACCCAACCCAACCACCCTCATAAAGTTAAGCTCAAGTAACAAGCATTACACTGGTTTTTGCTACTTCGGGCATCTCTTCTTTACCTTCAATGAATGTCCATTTTGGAAAGAAAAAAAAAATCCCCACAATTCTTAAATGAAATCCTAATCAGGAAAAACATATTACTCGAAAGGTAAGATCATAATTTTCCCAAGTCATGTGTGACCCTACATAATTTGACAACCAAATAAAAAAATTATAATAAACTGCATGCTAAGCAAAATTGTCAACTTTATTTAAAACAATAGACTATGCACTATCAATATAACATCTAATCACTAGTTATATGTATTATAAATTTATTAATTTTTTAACAATTATTTTAAAAATCATATTAATGATAATTTCTGATTAATTAACCGTATAAAATTACTTTACACAGATATAGAAAATCTGAAATAACATGCCCCATTGAATTTGCATGATACTTTACACTACGATCGGTCCAAAGAAAGGATTCTTTTTCCCTTTGTACCTTCCAATGTGGGCGCATGAGGCCTCTATTTCTTGCAAAGTCAAAGTAGACAAAGATGGAATGGTAGAAACTTTGGTTTTTGTATGTAAGCACTCTAGACAGATAATCTGATTCCCAAGGTAAGTACAAACAGAAAGTTTCACATCAATGGTTCAGCAAATCTCTGTACTTTACTTAATCTTGCAGATTTAGTTTCCCTGAAAGGAAGATGGTCCAAATGATGGCCATCCAGAATAGTGACATTGCTGGCTAGATACCTGCAAGTCATGTGCCTCCACCATCCACACCTATCATTCAAAAGGCCCTTTTAAAGAATGTGTAAGCTTACACCAGCCAAATGGCCATCACACCTTGTTTTGTTTCATAGAAATAAATGAAAGTGTGTTTAAAGTTGGCGAGTCAGCAGTTCAAGACAAGAGTTAAAGGGGCAAGGGTACCGTCATTGCTTTGTATTTTGTAATTATATATAGTTGCAAAAACCATGAGTCACAAGCAGATTCAAGTGAAGGGGCCACAGAGAAAAAAAGACTCATTTTAGTGTGTGAACTGAAGATAAAGTGAAGTCCTTGGAAGCCTAAGTGCATAAAGGTAAACCTGGTTTATTTATCTGCTTCTTGGTGAGATTCATTTTACTGCTTCATCCATTTTCATGGTTTAATTTCCGGTTTCTATCCTCATCATAGAGAGAAAAATGCTTGTCCAAAGTCTCGAAAGTCTTTTCTTCTATTTTGGAAAGAAGATGAAATGAATTAGACCCCTTATGCATGTAATTGATGGATCAATTTTAAGACAGAACTCTCACTGGTGCAAATGTTTGTCCAAAATCTCGAAAGTCTCTTCTTTTTCTGGAAAGAAAACGAAATGAATTAGAGCCTTTATGCATGCAATTGATGGATCAATTTTAAGACAGAACTCTTTGTTGAATCAATGCTTGATCCTTAAGCAAGGATTTGAGGCCACTTCCAGCACAAAATTTTTAAGGAAAGAAAACAAGACAAGCAACAAAAGCACAATTTGAAAAGCTTATACCAAAGTGAAGAGTAATATGTGTATGACAAGACTCAAAGAAGTTCAACAAATAAAACTGAAAAATAAGACTCTAAAGAAAGCTAGCACTCAATTAGGAAGGTTCCTAGATAGGTACTAGAGTAGATTAACAACACAAAAAAAATTTGAAAGCAATTGGATAAGTACAAACCAAATAGTAGTCAAAACAATATTAAGGAATCAAGTGAATTTTGTAGTTGTACACCTCTCGGCTTTTTCTCTTTAAATTGCTTTATCTATATTTTTTTTTATTCTTTCTTTTTCTGAATTCAATTTAAGATT